AAAAAAAATTAACAGTTAGTATGTTTTCAAAAACAATGATATTGACTGTAATAATAGTAAATGATGAGAATACTTACAGGCTATATTTATTATTTAAAATAAAATGAAAATCAACAGTTAATATTTTTTCAAAAACAATGTTATTGACTGTAATGATAGTGCAATGATGAAAATACTTACCTCCTTATTTATTATTTAAAATAAAATAAAAATTAACAGTTAGTATGTTTTCAAAAATAATGATATTGACTGTAATGATAATGTAAAGGATGAAAATACTTACATTCTTATTCATTATTTAAAATAAAATATAAATTAATAGTTAGTATGTTTTCAAAAACAATGATATTGGTTTTAATTATAGTAATGATGAAAATACTTACTCTCTATTTATTATTTAAAATAAAATAACAATTAATAGTTAGTATGTTTTCAAAAGCAATGATATTGACTGTAATGATAGTAATGATGAAAATACTTACAACCTTATACATTATTTAAAATAAAATAAGAATTAATAGTTAGTATGTTTTCAAAAACAATGATATTGACTAATGGTGAGAATACTTACTTCCTATTTATATTTAAAATAAAACAAAAATCAACAGTTAATATGTTTTCAAAAACAATGACATTGATTGTAATAATAGTGAAATGATGAAAATACTTACACACTATTTATTATTTAAAATAAAACAAAAATCAACAGTTAATATGTTTTCAAAACAATGTTATTATTGACTGTAATGATAGTGCAATGATGAAAATACTTACAAACTACCCATTATTTAAAATAAAATAAAAATTAACAGTTAGTATGTTTTCAAAAACAATGATATTGACTGTAATAATAGTAAATGAGAATACTTACACCCTTATTTATTATTTAAAAAAAAACAAAAATCAATCAACAGTTAATCTTTTTTCAAAAACAATGTTATTGACTGTAATGATAGTGCAATGATGAAAATACTTACATCCTTATTTATTATTTAAAATAAAAAAAAAATTAACAGTTAGTATGTTTTCAAAAACAATGATATTGACTGTAATAATAGTAAATGATGAGAATACTTACTCTCTATTTATTATTTAAAATAAAACGAGAATCAATCAACAGTTAATATGTTTTCAAAAACAATGATATTGACTGTAATAATGGTAACTTACCAATCTATTTATTATTTAAAATAAAATGAAAACCAATAATTAATATGTTTTCAAAAACAATGATACTGACTGTAATAATAGTACAAAAATACTTACGGAACTATTTATTATTTAAAATCAAATGAAACTCAATAGTTAGTGTTTTTTCAAAACGATGATATTTGACTATAATGATGTTTATTGCAATAGTTAAATGAAGTACCTCGCTTCTCCAAATTATTGTTATCATACATTGGACTTTCTAAAGCAACAACAACAAAGATAGCCATAAAGAGAAGAGAAATATTGATTTTAATTTTGATTTTAATTTGTTCAGTTAGTTATTAGCGAATTTTAGTTTTTTTTTCGAATTGTATGCAGTTAAGGAATTTAATAAAAAATTTATAGTAAACCAGCTATTTTAGAATTTTGGTTATTCTTCGCAATCATAGATAATTGGATCCTTTAAATATTCGATTTAATGTTAATTAAACAAGAAATTGATTGTTGATCATGAATTGGCTGTATATCATACATAATGTAACGCTAAATGAGATTGTGTAAAAATAGAAATCAAATCATAGAATCAAAAAACTTTGGTCAACATATTGATAAAATGAATCGTTTGAACAAGGAGAAATTAAATTATTTGATTGATTAGAATAAATGGAAAACCTACTTCTATGGAGATCTGCTGGCATATTCAACATACCAATCTGGTCAACATATTGATAAAATGAATCGTTCGAACAAGAAATTGTGTTACAAATCGAATCCCCTGATCTGCGAATTAATATTAATGTTAATATTAATATAATAATAAATTCTTGCTTTCATTTATTTGATTCATCTCGTTCAATAATTAATGTTTCTTTATTAATTAAAAAAACAAAAAAACCCTAAAATAAAAATAAAATAAAATTTTCAAACTTCGAATTATTCAATAAAAAAACAAACAAGAAGATACAAATGTACCATCAAACGGATATTAGTGACAATTGGACCATCATGCTCGATACAAAAAATGTAAATGAAGGCCTAATAACTACTTGTCTTGGTATTCCACCAACGACCAGTGAAGCGATTTATATAATAAAAAATGCAGATGAAAGCTATAATAATAATAGCAACATTAAAAATTATTTTTTATTCGACAATCTAAATTTTAAAATTTAATGGTTTATTAATTAGCATTATAATTAATTGAAAATTTAAAAAATTATTGTTACCGGAATAGAAAACAACATTATCGTCACATATTTATATTATTATTATTATGCTTTATTCGAATTATTTGCTTTATTTGCTTTATTTTCTTTATTCAAATTATTTTTTTATTTGAATTTTATTCAATTATTTGTTTTATTCTAATAAACCTTATTTGAATAAAAACCCTAACCAATATCCAATATTATGATATTATTTTAGTATTGCAATTAATAAAGCTTCCCACAAAGATATTCAACCAATAACTACAGTAAATTACAATATAAAAAATATAAAAGAGCCATTGGTTTATTAAATTAAGCCAATAATTAACTAAAAAAATAGGATTAATTTTAGAAGAATATTGGCACTTTCAATATTTACTAATAGACTTTTAGACTATATGATAATAATATTATTAACTTATCAGAATGCTAATACCTTGATTATTTTTTTTAAAGAATATCAGTCAGATATCAGATTTAATGAATGCTTTATCAATTATTCAATAATCATATAGCGGGTTTGATTGAAGTAAGTGTTAAGTCAAGATCTATGAAGTTGTTTGTAAAGTATATTTAATGAACGCTTTATCATTTATTAAATAATCATATAGGCGGATTTGATCAAAGTATTAAAGTCGAGATTTACAAAACTTGCAATCCAACTTTGGGAAATGAATGTGTAGACATGATTAAGGTTTCCGGCCGAAACTCTCTTTATTAGTAGCAAAAATTGCTGAAACACTTTGGGCAAAAATTACTTTTTCATAATAATAAGCCCAAACTATTTTTTGTTACAGTTTGGACCGGAAACCTTAGTCAGGAAGCCCGTAAACTACAAATCGGATGATGAGGTATATATAAATATAATTATTATTATATTTTAAGATAAAAATATTAATTTTTTATTTTATTTATTTATTTATAGGAACAATGCACAAATTTGTGCCTGCTTCATTAATAAGTTTACAAATGAGGAAGCAAAGCGAGCCATTGAGACTTTCATTTACGCTTCCGAATTCGCAGAAAAACGTATTAGTATTCCGTAATTATTACGGAATTACGGGTTTAAAAATTCGTAATTAATTATTATTATAATTCAATTCCGTAATAGTAAAGATTATTGGATATTATTGAGACAATTTAAATAGAAGTGATTTCAATTAATGGCTTATATTAATATGGCCTAACATTCAGAAAGCCAAAGTTTATCCAGCCAGCCTCTATACAACAGTTTAACTGAGTCGTAGGTTATTATTAGTATTAGAGTGGTGTAAAATTCGAAAATATCTGAATTATGGACAGCCAATCGTCTTTATGGTAGCCGAAATTATTATTAGTATTATTAATATTAATTTTATATTTTGTTTACGCTTTCCATTTGCATTTTCGGAGACAACTATAGCTCTATGCGGTGGTATTGATGGTGAATGTTATTATTATTACAACTCGTGATGATTCTTTGGCTCATTTGGTTGGAAGAAGTTGAAAAAGGTTGTTGCGAATTAGTAAAGTGAATATTTTTATTTAAATTCATATAATGATTATTAATTGCAAGCAAATAAACGAATCAGCTAGCAATAAGCAAAAATGACAAAGAAAAATTTAGCAATCTCTAAATCGAGTATTTATGTTTTTGTACTCTAGAAATTTTGGCAATATTATAGAAAATTTTGAAGAATAATCGATTAACTTTGCAGTAAACTTTTGGATTTGTTTTCTAATCAATCAAGTATTAGAGAACTTGCTATATTCCTTCCACTTTTAGATGGTACTATGATATTACTAGTGATATGTTCTAAAGTAAATAAAGCTCTAGGGTTTTTTCCATTCCAATAGAGTAAAACCGTTTCCTGAACAAGGGTTATTGCCATTTTTAATGAGCCATTCCTTTTCAATTCTTTATAATCTGTAGAAGTCGTGTACCGACTTAAAAGTTTGCATGCAACTGATTCAGTAACAATATATCTTGTAACTTCTTGTCTACTTACGTCATGGCCAATAACAATTCCTTCTCTAAATTATTATTAACAATATAGTTAATATTTTGATATTTTCTTATAAAACAATATAAATAAATATTTACTTTTTTTTTTCTTTTTTAAATTTTTTTATTAACGCGTCCACCATACTATTATAACTACATCTAGCCTTACAAAATTTAGATCTAGTCTTTTTTATCATGTCAAGATGAATTTGTGAACGTGTATCAAAATTGAAAATTGCTTTTACAAGTCTTTCCATTACTGCAGGAATAGGAAATCGAACACGAAGGAAAAGACACTTGACCTCTTCATCCAAAATATTTAGCAGGTCCTAATTGATTAATTGATTAATGAAATATCGAGAAAAATAATAATCTAAATTTCAAAATTTACCTCACTTATATTATTAGGTACGATAGAACTATTTCTAGATTCTGAAATACTCTTTTTCAATAATTGGTTCTTCAAAAGCAAATTGTTAGCCAATTGCAAGACATTGGGATGCTCTACTAGCCATTGAACTATTTCATTATCATTATCTATTTCATCTTCATTATCTATTTCTTGACAGGAATAGAGGGTGCCATTAGAAGTATCTAGATTGTTTAATATCATATGATTAATTAATAAAGATTAAATGTAAAATAATAGATAAATAATTTTTTATTCATTTATATATATATATATATATATATATATATGCACATACCATCTATAGTTATTACTTCATCAATAGATTCTTCATCAATTAACTCTTCATCAATAAATTCTTCACCAAGTTCTTCACTAATAAATTCTTCAGTTTCAGAATCATTTACTTAAAAGGAAATAATAAATTAGATGATGACAATGATGACAATTTTTACATAAAATAATTAAATAGTTACCATTTCCTTGAAACAAATTATTATTACTAATTAAAATTATTGGATAACTTTCTTCTTTCGTAGTTTCATCATGTGGAATTTCATCACTAGTTAACATTGGCAGTGAGATTTCTTCTCTTTTAATTAACATTGATAGTGGTGTTTCTTCTCTTTTGATTAAGACTGGTGACGTTTCTTCTCTTTTGATTAACATGGGTGACGTTTCTTCTCTCTTGATTAACACGGGTGACATTTCTTCTCTTTTGATTAACACTGGTGACGTTTTTTCTATTTTGATTGACACGGGTGACGTTTCTTCTCTTTTGATTAACACGGGTGACATTTCTTCTCTTTTAATTAACATGGATGACATTTTTTCTCTTTTGATTAATATTAATAATGTTTCTTTCTCTTACCAAGCAAGCTTCAAAAATTGGTATTTTATAAATGATTATTAAAAAAAATTCTATCGCGTATTTTCGTGTCCTACCTACCTTTTTCAAAAACAAAAACAAAACGCGAAAATTTCAATTTGCAGATCATTTTTAATTTTGGTCACGATATTTATAGTCAATCTTGATTCGTTTAAAAAAAGTATAGTGATACTTTGTTTATATAAATTCGTGAAACGTATATTAATATTGAAAAGAAATTATCAGTTAAAATATCCAAGAGGATTTGCTTTTGGTTGCATTAAGACCTACATTAGGATATTCCATTTCTAAGTTTTTTCCATTAGGATTTTCTTTTTTTGTTTCGAGAAAATATATAACCTTGCTCTTTGACATGAAGTAAAGTGGCTAGTTATGCATTCTGAAATGTCCATGCCCAATTTTATGGTTTTGTTGTAATAAATAGTAAGCTTTGTTGGAAACGAACTTTGAAATTTTCTGGTTATTTACCCGGTACCTGCTTCTTTGTAACGTAATATAATTTTTCCATTTCTTGAGGTTTGTTTTATAGTTTCATGACTAGATATATATTCGCAAGTGTATATATATCTATGAAGACATATATAATATTATAAATATGTTATATATTCAATTGTCCTTTGTGAATAACAATTCTTACAAAACCTAACTCTTCGATATTGACATATTGTCCACATCACAAAATCGGCAGTCTTTTAGCCCACCTATTTCGAAAAATGTATATACACAAGCATAGTGGACATTTGATTTCATTGACTAAATTTTGTGACAATCTCCTTTCCAGAAAAACAAATATTAATATCGGAGGGAAGGAAATTTAGTTTCAAATTGATAAAAATAAAATGTTTATAATAAATAAAAAAATTAATATAGTAATAGTATTTCTTTATTGAATGTTTTTAATACATAGGCTTGGTTTTTTGTTATATAGTCTAATATATTATTTACTTTTCAACTTTTCATTGACTTCATCAAATCAACATTTTACCTTTGATCATGAATTGTC